GGTGTTAGCCACATGTTTCAATGGAATTGTCTGAAAATCCACACAAGTAGTTCCTTGTGGGTATTTTATACCTCGACAGAGAATTATCTATATAGGTCCACAATATCGTACATCCCCCATATAACGGTACCCCCCGATATTCGGTATTTTGATGATTTTACCCACATTTTTGAACGGAATTGTCTGAAAATCCACACAAGGAGTTCTTTGTGGGTACTTTATACCTCGGCAAAGAATTATCTATATAGGTCCCCAATATCGTATAGCCCCCATATAACGGTACCCCCCGATATTCGGTATTTTGATGATTTTACCCACATTTTTCAACGGAATTGTCTGAAATTCCACAAAAGGAGTCCCTTGTGGGCATTTTACCTCCTCAAAAAGAATTGTATATAGAGGTCAACGATATCGTATATCCCCCATACAACGGTACCCCCCGATATTCGCTATTTTGATGATTTTACCCACATTTTTCAACGGAATTGCCTGAAAATCCACACAAGGAGTTCCTTGTGAGTACTTCACCCCCTGAGAGAGAATTGTCTATACAGGTCCACGATATCGTGTATCCCCCATATTCGGTATTTTATGACTTGACACACATTTTTCATCGGAATTGTCTGAAATCCACACAAGGATTTCCTTGTGGGTACTTTATACCTCGGCAGAGAATTATCTATATAGATCCACGATATCGTATAGCCCTCATATAACGGTATTTTGATGTTTTTAGCCATATTTTTCAACGGAATGGTCACAAGGGGTTCTTTGTACACAAGGTGTTCTTTGTGAGCACTTTACCCCCCGACAGAGAATTCTCTATATAGGTTAACGATAACGTATAGCTCCCATATAACGGTACCCCGCGATATTCGGTATTTTGATGATTTTAGCCACATTTATCAATCGTATTCTCTGGAAATCCACACACGGAGTTCTTTGTGAGCACTTTACCCCTGAAACGGAATTGTCTATATAGGTCCACAATATCGTATATCCCCCATATAACGGTACTCCCCTATATTCCGTATTTTGATGATTTTAGCCACTTTTTTCAATGGAATTATCTGAAAATCCATACAAGGTGTTCCTTTTGAGTACTTTACACGCAGACATAGATTTGTCTTTATAGGTCCATAATATCGTATATCCCCCCATATATCGGCACCTTCCTATATTAGATATTTTAAAGATTTTAAAAGAATTTTTATTGGATTTTATTTTATTGAAAATTTTCTAATTCGTTCCAAATGGTGAAGGGTATTCAAAGTTCGGCCCGGCCAAACTTACTGCTTTTTTACTTGTTTTGTGTCAAGCGTCGTGATAATATATCTCCTTTGTGAAGGAGTTTCTCGGTTGTTCGTTTGAGTGTTTTGTGAATTTAAGGTCAATGTTGTTTTGGATCTTTTTAAGTTTTCGAGAGAAATCCTTCTATGTAAGAATTGCTAGCATTTTCAACAATATGCAACCAAACCTTAAGATATTTACTTTTTCCCTAAAATGTTGTAAGCTCATTTCAATATTGTTTAAAATATATGATTTTCTTGTGTTAATTTGTTTTTTTTTTTCCTTGCATAGTTTAGTTTAGATTTTTCTAATTATTCAATGATTTTTGCTCATCTTTTTTTTTTTTTTTGTTAATTTTTTTAATGTTAATTTTTAATAAGATTTTTAAGATCAAGGATGCTATGAGTAGTCATGTATAGGAGTTCTTGGAACCGTCAATCAATTGTTAATTTTTTGTTAATTTGTTTTAGTGTTTAATTTTAAGGAAGTCTTTTAGGATTAAGGATATTATAATTAATTTAGAGTAGTCATGTATAGAAGTTGATGGAACCTTCCATGGCCCTGTCGGCTAGGTTTCTGTACAAATTGAAAATAAATAAATACGCACGGTAATTTGCAAACTACTTGTGCTTAATCTAGAAAGAATATATTGAAAGCTTTTTTTCACTACAGAGACTTTTTTGATATAAAAACTATAAGCACTCATATATGTTATCGTTTAGGGTTGCCAAAATAGCTATTAATTCTTTTTATACCCTCCACCATACTATGGAGGGTATATTAACTTTGTCATTCCGTTTGTAACTCCTCGAAATACTCATGTCAGACCCAAAAAAGTATATATATTCTTAATCAGCGTAAAATTCTAAATCGATTTAGCCTTGTCCGTCTGTCTGTCTGTCTGTCTGTCTGTCCCTCTGTTGTAATCACGCTATCTTTCGAACGAATTGAGATAGAAGGCTAAAATTTTGCACACGTGTTTATTTTTCCAGTAGACAGGTTATGTTCCTAAATGGGCCATGTAGGTCCACGTTTTCATATAAATACCTCCCGATATTCGGTATTTTGATGATTTTAGCGACATTATTCATCGAAATTGTTTTAAATTTGGTATTTGAAGTTCGAAATGGATACTACAGCCTAAGAAAGAAAATTGTCTGTGCAGGTCCACGTCTTCATATAGCCCCCATATAACGGTACCTCCCGATATTCGGTATTTTAATGATTTTAGCGTCATTATTTAACGGAATTGTTTCAAATTACGTATTTAGAATTCGTAATGGAAACTACAGTCTGTGACAGAAAATTGTCTATGCAGGTACAGGTCTTCGTATGGGCCCCATATATCAGCGCCTCCCCATATTCGGTGGGTACAATACCCACCGACATTTTTTGAGATGTCGTATTTGAAGTTCTAAGTTTGTACTACTGTGCGAGCTTTTGTAAAATACTTGTGCTTAATCTAGAAATAATATATTGAAAGCTTCTTTCACTACAGAGACTTTTTGATATAAAGACTATAAGCACTCATATATGTTATCGTTTAGGGTTGCCAAAATAGTTATAAATTGTTTTTCGGGTTCTAAATTATATACCCCGATGAATAAGGCCAGTAATATTGTTTGTAATATCTTCGGGAAAAGCGTAAGTCATAGCTTAGCTCTTAAAATTATATCTCGTGTGACAAACGGACAACATCGATTGACCCTTTCTGGTATTTTTTCACAAAACGATATTGTAAAGAATTACAGTTGTCAAATACCAATTCAAAACATGTATTTTCTTTAATTTTCAAATGTGATGAAATCTGTATAATTCTTCTATATTGATTCGCTGAATTCCATTAATATTTAACACTAGGATTTTCAAACCACTTCGTCATAAAAAGTCTACTTTTAGATTTTTAAATTCGTTCCAACAGTTCGTGTAGACCTTTTTAGTACTCAAATCGCCAATTTGTTCAATTTAGCAGAGTTTTTTAACCAATCTAATCTAAAATTATTAAAACCATTGCACAATGGATTTTTTTGTCCAAAACTACTTCAACGTCTCCATATATACATGGTGAGATAAAAGAAATGCAAAAGAGTCAAAAGTCATAGTTTTTATTTTTTTTTTTTTTAATGTTATTGAATGAAAGAAAAAATTGTCGAAAATAGCATCAAATTTTAGAATAAGTTTAGATTTGTTCGAATCTGTCACCTTTGGCCCGAATTATGGCCTTCAAACGGCCACTGAAACCGTCACACGCTGCGGTATTATGCCCCATTCCCGGCGAAGCGCTTGCTTGAGGTGATCGACACTTTGGCATTTTTTAGTGCCAACCTTGCTTTCCAAAATACTCCAGACACAATAGTCCAACGGATTGGTATCCGGAGATTTTAGTGGCCATTGTGCGCTGGAAATGAAGCAAGGAACCTCATTTTGTAACCATTCTTGGTTGGCGCGTGCTGTGCGCGATTGTGCTCCAAAATATTTTCGCGATAATATTCGGCATTAATTCTGATGCCACGGTCGACAAATACGAGCGGAGAGAGACCCTCGGCTGTTGTAACGGCCCACACCATCACCATTGCTGGCGCTTGAGTTCACCGCTTTCGGCCAAGCGAAGCAACTCTCTAGCTCTTTTGAGTCTATTTCCTTTCTGTTGTGTTGTAAATCTTTGCACTTTTTGGAATTTCAATGGCTTTTCCCCCAGCCCATTTTTTAATATTTCTTGAATAGAATATTGCAATATGTTCAGCTCACGATCCATTTTTCGGTCATTGCGACGCGGGTTTCGATCAAGTCGCTTCTTTATTTTTCGAACCATTTCTACAGATGTTGCTGTTTGCTTCCGTCCACTTCCTTGACGTCGGGCTACGCTACCAGTATCACGGTAACGAGCAATGGTGCGAGACACAAGAGATATGTCCATGCTATACATAAACAGCGACCCTAATACCAAATTTCAGATTTCAAGCACCAAATTGTAATTAAATTCAGTACTATTCAGTACTTTTCCTGCAGTCGTAGCACACGTTTCCAAGACCACCTCTCTATCACAAACCTACCAGCAACAGCTTCCCAATACAAAATAAAAAACTTTCTGCTTCATCCGTTAACCCTAACATAAACTGTTGCACATTTAGTATCATTTAGTACTGTTCGCATAAGCGAGCTATATCCTAATCTGATCCTATCTCGATAAAATTGTACAGAGGTATTTGTGGATGTGCGGACAGACGGACGGACGGACTGACATGCATAAATCGACTCAGAATGTGATTCTATGATGATCCTCAAAAGTAACTATGGGCCTATCTCGCTTCCTTCTCCATGTTACAAACAAATGCACAAAGACATAATACCCTTACCACTATGTGGTGTAGGGTATAAAAATCGAATACTGATTTCGCACTTTACGATAGTAACATAAACATATAGTCCATTATTTCACCTAAATATTAAGATGTAAAAAGTTTGGACCAAAAAGGATCTTCCCTTCAAGAGGTATTGTGCCATCGTGTCGAAAATATGTAGATCAATTAAAAACTTTTCCAAAGAATTTCGCCCAAAGAAGATATTTAGACACTGATCAAATGATATATATTCTCATAGCCACAAGGCTGAAGCTATGAAAGGGAAAGGGACAAACTGATAATATCAAATCAGATTCTGAATGTCTGCTGGGCCAGGTTCACACACCGTACACGTGACTATATCAAAAGTTATTTTTTCAATAAAATTAGTTCTCTTTTTCATAAGTGCTTTCCACTTTCAAACTAATAATATGCATATGTGGTCTGATAACATTCGGCCTTTTGCCACTCGAAAAATAAACTTCAGACGCTGTGATTACTCTCAATTCACATGTCTCACCAAGAGTTCTTATCGCAACCCTTGAAGTGTTATCATAATGAGGAACTCCTCATAATTCATTTGCATCGGCCTGGTAACAATGGGAACTTCAAAAAATAAAAATAGACAACCAATACAAATATATCTGTTTCATAATAACGATCTTATCGAATATTTTCATAGTTACTTAAAATATAATCAGTTATTCTATTAAATTTATAAACTAAGTAGTATGCCATTTATCTATCAATTTCTCCAATAATTTGAGACATTTTCAGCCGTTGTACTTTGCCGGTGTCGGTGCGCGGCAGAGCGTCCACAAAATAGACCCCACCACGTAGATGATAGAAACTGTCCATTTCCCTTTCGATGACCTCATTCACCATTTGGGCGGTCAGTTGATTGCCTTCGACATCCTTGGTCCTTACAATGGCACAGGCTGCCAAATTTTCAGCCACCAGATCGGGAATGGGAAATACACAGACTTCGGCTACTCCGGGTATGCGCTGTAGTACCTCTTCTATGGGCTGGGGACATATTTGGAAATTCTTCCATTTGAACATTTCTTTGGCACGTCCAATCAAATGTAGAAAGCCCTCGTTGTCAAAGTAACCCACATCTCCAGTCCTTATCCACTTACCGTGCTTGGCTTGGTCTGTAGCTTCGGGATTTTTGTAATAACCCAACCATGTATAGGGGCTGTGAACATAAACTTCTCCCGTTTCATTGGGACCCAAACGTTGGCCATTCTCACCCACAATACATGCCTCTCTGTTGATCCATAATTTACCCTCCGAATCTGGCTTAAACTCAAACGGATAACCACCATTGAGGCTAACACCACCCATTATCTCGGATAAACCATAACCAATTGTGAAACCGGGACGCTTGGTATTATCACCGAGGATTTCAAACATTTGTTCTTGTATGGCCTGTGGAACTTTGGCACCGCCAGCCATCAAGGTATCAATAGATTTGAGGGCAGATCGGGCTTTCTCTTTATCCGTATTCAAAACTAAATCTGCCATTTGGGCTCCAGTTGCAAAGATGTGAGTAACCTTGTAACGTTCCACTAATTCGAGAAAATATTCCGGACTATATGCACGATCGGGAACGATGCGCAGCGTTGAATATAATAAACTTTGTACCAGATTCATAACACCCGATGCCCAGTACATGGTACTGAAACACATCAATACCGAGTCCATGGTGGCGGTGAGACTAGATGGGGAAGAGAAGAGAGAAAGAACGAGAAAAATAATTAGGGCAGAAATCCAGAAGATTATGAAAGTAGAACTAAAAAAGTAGGCATATGTTTCTGCGGGGCCAATTTTCACCTTTTAAACAATTAAGAAAAATTTCAGAATACGATTCATAGGAACTCATGCAATTTATGCATATAGTGTTTTCGGCAATATGGTAGATAAAATATGTAGAATATTTTGAGAATATCAGAGGGGTCCTTTTGGTCCTTTTTTTAATATGGTAACATTTTATTGCAGATCTTAGATAATGTCAAGAGTCTAAATCTTACTTAAACGCCGGGAAGTCATAAAACCTTAATTTTTGAGAATTTGTGAACAAATCTCCACAATTTTCGAAGGATGACGTCAAAGACAAAAATATTTAATTTAACTATAAGTCACCAAAGAAAAGAAATATCTCTATATCTCCACTACATATCTAAAAAATATTTGCCTCAATGTTCCAAAAACAAACCGAAAATATTTCCCAATTTTTCTTCGGACTTTTTTCAAGTTAATGCCTGCAAGTAACAAAAATTTTCTTTTAAGGCGAAAGTTGCCAAACGAAAAAAGATTCTACACAAATTTATAAACTAAAAGTGAAATATATGTCTGATTTTTTACTCGTAATTTAAGTCGAATCTCCCTTTATACATGTGTTTTTGGGGAATGTGTTAAAGGAAGAATTATTCTACATCAGAGCCAGAGTGGGTTGCGGAAAATGCCAAAAAGACTTGATAGTACTCGTTCTTAGATGAAAATCCCAAAGGAGTTTTGGGTTCTTAGGGCAAATGTTGTTAAGGCCTTATATAGAATTTTGGCAAAATTGAAAATTGAGCTTTGAAATTTGTTGGAGATTTTTGGATTACATTCCGAATCATTAGTACATGAAATGGGTCATATCAGATCATTTTTGGGATAACTGTATTTGTTTACGTTTCAAGTATTTGTTTACGTTTTGGCCCTTTAATTTTCCAAAAATTCTGAGATTTTGAGTGCCTATTATGCAAAAATGCTATGCAGAAAAAATTATCAAATTAGGTACAAATTATTAAAATAGGTACAGCAGTATATAATCTGGGTTATCATACAAGGGGCGTATTTCAAAAAGTCGATGAAAACACTTTTTTACAACACGGTTTTAATTGGCCTTTTCAAGCCCTAATTTGTTTAAAATGCTGGCTTACTTTTAAGTAGAAAATTCAAATCATTTTATTTAAAATTTGATTAAATTTAATGAAAATCAGTTCAGATATTGCTATGGTTCAGATTTATATGTGTTTTCTCCAATTTGATAATTTTTGTTCCCGTAAGCTGTTATAAAAACAAGTAAAAATTAAGTTCGGCCGAACTTTTAAAACTCTCCACCTTTGGGTAAAGAAAACATTTTTTTATTTGTTCAAGTGTGTTCCACATTAAAACCGTTTGGATAATGCTGTTAAATTCTTCAAAAACCCATAAAGTGGGTATGGGGCCCATACCAAAACGGGAACCACTATAGACAATTTTATACTTCACGGATTTTCATCTACCAAATCCTCTTAAATAACAAAATTGAAACCATTTCGTAGGTAAATGTGACGGGGATTATCAAAATACCGAATATCGGCGGGTATCATTGTATGTGCGCTATAGGAAAACGTACATAAAATTTTCAATGTTCTTCCTCCGGAACTAGAACCCATTATGAATCAAAATTCTTAATATCCGGAGTTACCATTAGGTGGGGGCTACACGAAAATATGGACCTATATATACTATGTTGCGTCACAAGAGCTAGAACCCATTACGAACTACAAATACCAATTTTTGGACAAAACCGTAACAAAATGTTGCGAAAATAATCAAAATACCGTATATCGGGAAGTACCGTTATATGGTGGCAATTCTAAAACTTGGGCCGCTATGTCTCATTTTCAATATCAACCATCCTAGGCACAATACAAATTGTTCTGTTCAACAGACAGACAGGCAGGTTTAGTTAGATCGACTTAGAATTTTATTCTGATCATGAATATATATACTTTATGGGGTCTACGAAAAATATTTAGTGATGTTGCACCTTTTCAAGGTGGAGGGTATGAAAAGTACCCTCCACCATTTGGAAGGAATTTGCCAACTTAAAAAATGCAATAAAAATACTGAAAAATAAATCATAAATATATCGAATATGAGTAAGTTACCGTTATATTGGGACCTATACGAAGACGTGTATATTCAATTTTTATCATAGGCCATTGCGGTGTTCAAAATGATAAAAATACCGAATAATGGGAGATCCAGTTATGTGGGGGCCATGCGAAGACCTGAACCTGCATAAACAATTTTTTTTTTGTCAGTGGAGGTAGTACGAACTCCAAATACCAAATTTAATGCAATTCCGGTGAAATATGCGATACAAAACATTAAAATACCGAATATAGGTGGGGGGTACAGTTATATGTGGCATTTGTATACTTTGTTGGATCCGACATGAGTATTTCGAGGAGTTACCAATCGAACGACATACTTAATTTACCCTTCATGCTATGGAAGAGGGTATAAAAATAGAAGCCAGGTGGCATCGGGGTTTTGAAACTTTAAATATCAAAGTAACCAAATTAAACCCATCATCAAAAATTTATATCGGATGGAAATAATATATGGGAGCTATATATATAAACTTGATACCAAAATTGCCAGACATACTTCTGGAATGAGCGGGGCCATGTGTGTTAAACTTCATTTGGACCTGCATAAGCAACTTTTGTCGTAAGCCATTACAATATTCAAATACGAAACTTGACATAAAAATCCGGTTAATCTTCGAACTTGACCTGCCTTCAGAAAAATGACTGATCTGTGCAAAATTTTAGTTTTCGATATTTATTTGTTTTGACTCTAGCGAGATTACAACAGGGCTAACTCGTCTTAGAATTTTACGCTGATCAGGAATATATATACTTTGTTATGTCTGAAATTATTATTTCGATAAGTTACAAACCGAATGACGAACTTAATATATCTTCCATATTATGTATGGTGGAGGGTATAAAAAGCTATGTGTCTTTTTTGTTTCCTTCGGTATGTAACAGATACAAAGACAAAATACGCGGCGAGGCGTACGATATAAAGAAATAGCTCGAGATAACTAGAAAATGTATGCGTTGTTTTTTTTTAATCCACTCATCTCGAAATATCGTTCTCAAAGATTTCCTCCTCACTTCCTTCATTAAAATATTTACTGTGCACACTGTAACTATACTTACTATAGAAGATTGTGCAGCATTGATTGATGTGAGCACATCACTCCCTTTGGTGTGCCCGTTGTACCAGATGAACACAATATGGCTGCCGTGTCAGCACTGGACAATTTGGTGCAGGGAAAACTTGAAATATCACCAATATCCTTACGATAAGTCACCAAATCCTTGATATTTAAGATACCCTTTAAACTACCAGTCATCAACACAATTTTGGCATTTAATTTCAACGTCTCCATTACATAAAGCACCTTATTATAGTTTTCCTCATCGCAGAAGATAAGCTTTGGCCTGGTGGTTTCATAGAGTTTTGTTATGGTATCTAAAACACACATGTATATGTTTTTTAATAATTTGGAATTCTGTAAGAATCAAATTCGACATTTCCATACCTTTTTCAAAACCATGAAACACTCCATGCACCGGAGTGCCACACAAAAAGGCCGCCAACATAACTGTGCCCAAATGCAGCGAATGTTTGGCATAGACGCCCACAATATCCCCGGCGTCTACGCCCATTTCGAGAATATTTTTCGCCAATGCCATACTGTAATTTAGAAATTCTTGAGCCGTCAGCGTCTCCCCGGTAGACTCGATAATTTGTATCACTTTCTGGGGAGTTCTACGCAATTGCATTACAATGGCCTCGCCCACAGTCATGTCACGGCTATAGATTTCTTTGCATTTCGGTCCACACCAGATTTTCTCCGCTGCATTGTAAACAGTTCCTCCCAGGTTAGCCGCCATTCCGTTCCGTTTCGTTTTTCTTCTCCTACTTTTTGTGTGTTTCTTCTACGAATATCTTTTGAATACTAACAACCATCGGACACCAGCAGCAGCTCTTAAGTAGTTATCGAGGATCATTCGGACTGCTTGAAATTTAGAGTTTATCTCATTTCGTCGTCGTATCTCTCTTTTTTTTTTTTGGAAAATTTTCGCCAATCATCGACCACCACAAGCTGAGCGAGATAAGGGAGAATCAAATACAGTTGTTTATTTTTAAAATATTAAAGCCGGCTAGTGTTTAGTTTATTTTGTTGTTAAGTGATAATGTCAACGTAGTATTTAGACAAACTAAATATGTGTGTACAGATGGTGTATGATCGCCACTGCAACACCATTTCCAAATGTAATAACGAATAGAGAGTGATCAATGAATGTTTTTAATCTCTAAAGAAGAAAATTAATTTTGTAACTCATTTGTGGCTTAACTTTGAAATGATAATAGAGATAGGAGAACCCAGAAATATCATTCTCAGAAAGCGAAATAGACACAAGATTGCCAAGAATATTTGTACACGGTAGGCGAACGTAGCGATTATGAAGCAAGCAGCATATAGCCCTATCCTGGCTTTACGTTTACGCTAGTCGACAAGAAAACCCATCATTAATTTCCATTACTAAATAATGGATTTCGTATCAATGGATCCAACTAATAAATTATTTTCTCAAGTCCTGAAATAAATAGTTCACTTTGGCCACTAAAAACCGACACATAAAGGGTGATTTTTTTTAAAAGATATAGGAACGGTTAAAAAAAATATTGATATATACAGCGGTGGTCATGGGGTTGGCACACTAGCTACACTGTCTCAAACAATTGTCCGTACCCCAGCTGAAAATATATTTGATTATAATTCGAAAAAATATTTACCCTATTCGAGTAAAATATTTTTTTTTAATTTACAACAATTGTTTATAATAATTTCCAATAAAAATAAAACAATCATGTTTCATTACTTTTTTATAGGAAATACAAACAAAAAGTCCAAAAAAGTAAAATAAAAAATTTGCCCGTACGACAGAATTCAAATATAACGGTTTTTTTTTTTGTTTTTATAAAATCGGATCATTATGTAGAGAAATATAGATTTCTCTAATATAACGGATCATTCATATTTGATCCGATTTGATCATACTGAGATTCCTATTGCCATCAAAGAATTGATTATTAAACTGCACAATGAAGGCAAAAGTTATCTTGACATCGCTAAAAATATTTCCAGACCAAAATCATCTGTACAATATGTGATACAAAATTATAAAAAAAAACTGGCTCACTCTTAATTGCGCCAGGAAGAGGTCGTAAAAAAAACATAGACACTCGACTAGGAAGAAAGATCGACCGGATGGTGAAGCTGGAACCACAAACAAGTGCTGTGGAAATAACTAAAAATGTTCAAAAAGATGAAAATGTTACTTTAAGCGCACAAACGGTACGAAACTTTCTGCATGATAACGAATATAAGGCATGTGTTCCACGCAAAAACCCTTCATTTTAAAAAAGGAATATAAAACAGCGTTTGGAGTATGCCAAAAAATATGTAGACAAACCTGACGAATTCTGGAAAACTGTTATATTTACTGATGAAAGTAAATTTAATATTTTTGGGTCGGATGGAAGACGTTTTTTGTGGCGAAAAGAAAACACCGCGTTGCAGTTAAAGCAACGGTGATGGTGTGGGGTTCAATGGCAGCTGGAGGTGTGGGAAATCTCGTGTTTGTGGAAACCACGATGGACAAAATTTAGGTATTTGAATATTTTGAATGAAAATTTAAAAGCAAGCGCCACTAAATTGGGCATACAAGACGATTATCGATTCTTGCACGATAACGACCCAAAGCACACTTCCATGGTTTTGCGAGAATGGCTGCTCTACAACGTTAAGGAAGTGGTACCTCATCCTCCCCAGAGCCCAGATTTAAACCCCATAGAGCATCTATGTGGTATTTTAGAAATTAATACATATGTAAAATTTTTTATAGAGTACGGACAACTTTTTAAGCTAATATTGAGAATTATTTTCATTTTTTTTTTTTGTTAAAAATAAAAGTGAATCTTTTTTTTTATTTTAATATTAATTGGCATTTTTATAACTACTTGTTGGCCCTAAAAAAAAGATTACTACATTCAAATTGGGAAAGTATTTTTCGAATTATAATCAAATATATTTTCAGTTGTATGGGGTACGGACAATTGTTTGAGACAGTGTACTTGCTATTTTTAAACGCAAATATTTCCTAATTTTTGATGATATCTTTTACATGCTTGTTATTTGCCCTTCTAAGATCACGTCCCATCATGTCCAGCAGTATTCCTTTATATATATATTTTGCGTTTTTCTACCCAGAATAAAATAACCTCCAAAAACACTGGACAGTATTTTAGCACAAAATAAAAAAGTTTAATCATATTAAAAAAAGTAAGAAATCAAAAAAAAAAAAAAATTAATGCACTAAAAACTTTGTACTTAGTTGGATACCCTTCATTTTTGATAACAGCTCCTAGTCTCCTTCGCATATTTTCGCAGCGATTCACTGAAATATCATTCCGAGCTTTTTCTACTTCTTTCGATAAATCGGCCAAATTTATAGGTTTTTCTCTCATTACATGCTGCTCCACATCATCCCAAAGGTTCTCAATAAGATTGAAATCCGGAGATTAGGCTGGCCATTTTAACACGCCGATATTTTCCGATTCCAAGCAACACCTCACTTAGCGTGAAGTGTGTTTTGGATCATTATCTTTCATAAATCGCCACCTAAGAGGCATTTTGTCCTCTGCATAAGGTATCATTGTTTTTAGAAGTATCGACTGGTATAAATACTGGTCCACACGGTCCGTGTTTTATTGTTTTATTGTGTACTTTGGATTATGTTGCATATTCGGAGGACACCATACATATCTCTTACCATCCGATCCGAATCTACAAAATTTAGATTCATCACTCCATAGGACATTTTTCCAAAAAACTAAGGGCTTTTCCAAATGCTTACGAGCAAAGGACAACCGAGCTTGTATGTTCTTTTTTGAATCATGTGGCTTATGCTGAGAAATGCATCCACGTAATTTTTTGTATTAAGTCTTATTCTTATCGTTCTGCTGGACACGTTGATAACATATTTTCCCGAAATTTCTCTCTGGATTACGGCGGAGCTCTTCGACAGAGACTCTAAATATTATAGAGTCCACTTTACGTGATTTTTTTCTGGGCCGAGGAACCAGTGTAGTATTTTCAGATGTTTTATACTAAAAAATAAAAAATAATAAAAAATAAATAAAAGCTTTACTTCGCGTAGCCGGCGTTGGACTTACAAAAGTATCAAATTTAGAAAAGTTTCCTACGCGTTAGCCAATGTGGGGCATAACTAGAGTAGAAAATCTCAATCCCCGGCCTAAAGTCGGCTACTAACAACAACTGTTAAATTTAGAAAAACTTTAGTTCGCGTAGCCGGTTCAACATACCCAGAATGAAAAATCTTAAGCTCTTGAACATGTGCAAATTTAAGAAAAAAATCAGCATTTTTTATCACGTTATAACAATAATTGGATTTAAAATTATTTGATTATTTATAAAAAGTCAAATTTCAAATTCTATTTCTTCTTCAACACATTCAGCTAAAAAATTTGCTCACTCTTCCTACGTTTTTGGATTAGCAGGATTGTACATCATACCGGCATATTTTAAAAATTTAGAAAATATATTTTTGCCCATCATGCTGCCCCACCGTAACAAAATGCACTTTTGTATATATCCGTTAAAAAACAATTTCCGCCTTCAAATGCCTCCATAGTCCTTCAATTGTATTAGTGCGGTACCCTGTCTGAGGGTCCCCAAAATTCAGGGAATGGTTCACCTTGTGGTGGGTATAGCCTTCCTCCGGCAGAGTGTCATAAGCCCAAAATATATATACACAAATATTATTACTTGTATTTTAATATAATGTTATAAAAAACATACATTCCAACAATCTGAGACAATTATAGTACCCGGGAGAATATATTTTTCAATGAGGAGTAACAGACTTTCCCTCGTTCTTTCTTCCACCGGGACAATAAAGCATTTATTCGAGCCTCTCTCCATTCCTCCAAAATCCCATTGTCCCTCTAACCAATGTCATCTGTTGAATTTCCGATTTTACATTCGTCTATTTCAAAAATTTTTCCGGGGCCACCCAGCCTTACTGTGTCCTGGAACGAACTAAAAACAACCAATTCCCTGCAGAAGTTGTCCCAATCCGTTCCAGATTACACACCCGTAATATTGGCTGTTTTCATTAAAAAATTGATGGGTAAATTACCGCACCATAAAACGTCAATTCCAACATTTGTTAGGCCGACAAGTGAGACCGGCTGAAGGTACACCTTCCAGCTCTTTTATGGCCCTTTAAATACCTAAATGCCTCGCTACATTTAAAAGAAAAATAATTATTAAAAATTTAAAAAGAAATATACAGGGTGAGATAAAAACTGAAACGAAGTCAAACGCCACAATATTTACATTTTACATACATAGTATGGAGGGTATATTAAGTTCGTCATTCCGTTTGTAACTCATCGAAATAATAATTTTAGACCCAAAAAAGTATATATGTATATTTTGGATCAGCGTAAAATTCTAAGACGTTTTTGCCCTGTCTGTCCATCCGCCTGCTGTAATTACGCTACAGTCAAAACGAATAAAGATAGGAAGCTAAAATTTTGCACAGATCTGTCGTTTGTCTGCAGACAGGTCAAGTTCGAAGATGGGCTATATAGATCGATATCGCATAGCTCTCATATAACCGTACCCCCCGATATTCGGGTTTTTGGTGATTTTAGCCACATTTTTCAATGGGATTGTCTGAAATTCTACACAAGGAGTTCTTTGTGAGTATTCTATCGCCTGGAACAGAAATATATATATATATATATATATATATATATATATATATATATATATATATATATATATATATATATATATATATATATATATATATATATATATATATATATATATATATATATATATATATATATAGGTCCACGAGTACATAGAATTGGCTATATAGGTCCACAACATCGTATATCCCCCATATATAGGCTCCTTTAAATATTCGGTATTTTTAAGGTTTTAACAGACATTTTACTGGATTTTATTTTTTTGAAAATTTTTTAGTTAGTTCCAAATGGTGGAGGGCACTCAAAGATCGGCCCGGCCGATCTTACTGCGGTATTTTGGCCAGCGATGCCAACTTAGTGCTTTTCGCGCTATTTTTGGTGCGTTTTAGACCCCCCCAAAAGCCAAAATAGTGGGAATAGCGCAAAACGAAGCACTGTATGTACGCTTTTCATCTTTTCTGTTGGTGCTCTTAGATTTTAAAATGTGGCAATGTTTAACAATTGGATTATATTGATAGTATGGCAAGTTCTTTACTTCGAATTCTTTACGTGCCTTTCATTCCTGTCATTGCAGTTCTTTTGTTTACATGTAACTCTTTTTTAATAAAGAAAAATAAAGCGAAGAATTTTGTG